TAGCATAGTGGTTATGAATCGGGCTGCGAACCTTAAGGTCAGTGGTTGGAAACTACCAGCCGCTCCGCGGGAGAAAGATGAGGCTTTCTACTCCTGTAAGGATTTACACCCTCGGAAACCCTGTACAGGGTCGCTATGGGTCGGAACCGACTCGACAGAACTTAACAACAACAACAACAATATTCCCAGATTCATACTTTCTACATTCCATGTTCTGATTTTCAATGAATGTTTACATCTGTTTCTCTTCATTTTGAGTTGTGCTCCATCAGCAAATGAAGGTCCCGTGGGCTTTTCTCCCACGGGCTTTACTGCATTCGTGTCATCACAGTCAGCTCTACTTTGAGGAGGCAGCTCTTCCCCTTCCTACTTTACTAAGCATGAAATCTTTCTCCAGGGATGGGTTCCACCTGATAACATGTTCGAAGTAAGTAAGACGAAGTCTCACCATCCTCCTTTCTAAGGAACATTCTGGCTTCCAACACAGATTTGTGTCTCTTCCAGCAGTCCATGGTTTTATTCAATATTCTTGCTCACACTATAATTCAGATACATCAATCTGTCAGTCTTAATAAATAGCAGCAATGAGAATAATGGTTTTTATTGTAAGTGTGTTTAGTCCCTTGCTTAGGCCAATGGTTATTAGTTAGCTTTTCATCTGTACCTTTTTCCTTTCCAGTCCTAGCTTTAGGCTGAGGTCAGCCCCATTGGAAGGTGACCTCTTTGGTTTCTACTGTAGATTTTATCCCTTGGTTATAATGCCAGTGTAGACATTAAATAACAACACTCAGCATGTTGACACTTTTGTTTAAACGAAATCATACATATAAAGTAGCTGAGTGGGAGGTGCTTTGCTGAAAGTACTCGCCTTCCCCAGAGTGCTCTGAGTTTTTCCTGGACAGACACTCTCTTGCAGGTTCCTTAGAGCTCATTAAAAAACCATTGGCTTAGGACCAGTTAAAGACATTTAACAAAAATAGCTTATGGGAGTCCAGGTCAAGATGGTGGAGTAAGCTGATACCCTGAGCTGCCCGTACGCAACAAAGATGTAGGAGACCAAGTGAAACAGATGCTGATGGTGAGCCTGGACCCTGAGCATCAGAGGACAGGTCAGAGATGTGGACTGAGTGTTGATAAGAAGTGGACACTGAACAGGAGCAGTGAGAGAGAAGGGAAACAGAGGACTGTGGGCTGACGTGGCACAGGGCAGCCATCTTGAGCAAGCGGCCTGTTCTCACAAATACATTTGTAAATAATGTTGGTGAAAACATTAGGCAAAATCTAATTCACTTTGAGTTCAGAGTATGATGTAATTTTTGTGTCTATTGTTGGGGAAATGTAACCAAAACAAAATCTGCTCCCAACTCAGAAAACTTCTTAAATATAGCAGAGAAACAAAACAATATTATTATCAAAAAAGCTTGAAAGTAAAATATTATCAAAGGCAATTTTCTAAAGAGATTGCAAAGGCAAGAATAACATTGTTTTATATAGCTAATTGGAATCCTGGAGTAGTGCTGTGGGTTAATGCGCTGGACTGCAAAATCGATTTGAACTGCAAAGTCAGCAGTTCAAGCTCCCCAGCCACTCCTTGGAAACCCTATACAGGGTCACTAAGGGTCAGAACTGACTCGACGGCACTTAAAAACAACAACAACAATATAAAGCTAAGTGTATAAAACTTGTACATTTATGTTTTCAAGATCAAATTGTTAATTACTCATGTCTTTATGACTTGCAGTTTGGAGTTAGGTAGGTGACAATTGAAGTTAGACCTGTCTTCTGGAAAACTCAAAGATAGGGCTATGTCTTCTACAAGATATATTCTAAAGAGATGGCTCTCAGGTTCTTAGTTTTGAGAGTGGCCAGGGCCTTGTTTTTATTGGTTTTATTTTTTTTAGCATTTGGCCTTGTTGGTGTTAGCTGAGATAGTCATATGCATTCACGGTGATCCCATGCACAATGGAACAGAATCCTGCCCGGTCCTTTGCCATCCACATGACTGGCTGTATATCAGACAGGTGTGATTCCTAGAGTTTCCATTAGCAACTTTTTCTGAAGTTGATAACCAGGCCTTTCTTCTTAGTCTGTCTTAGTCTGGAATCACCATTAACACTGTTCAACATTTGTTGGGTCTGTAAGATGGTGTAGCTGATATGTGTAAAACGATATGAAACTTTCTCAAAATGTTGGAACTAGAAATATCATACGTCCCAGAAATCCCTCTACTTGGCAAATGTCCTCAAGAAATAAGAGATGTGACATGAATTGATATATGCACATCCATGTTCATTGTAGTGGCAGCAGCAATAGGCTCAAGTATAGCAGCAGTTGTGAGGGTGGTGCAGATGGGGGCAGCATTTTGTTCTGTTGTATACAGGGTCGCTATGGGTCAGAACCAACTTGACAGCACCCAACAACAACATGCCCATTGCAGCACTATTCACAGGAGCTAAAAGATGGAGACAATCTAATGCCCATCAACAGAAGAATGGCTAAACAAACTTTGGTACATACACATAATGGAATACTATGCAACATTAAAGAATAACAAGGAATCTATAAAACACCTCACAACATGAATGAACCTGGAGGACATTATGCTGAGTGAAATTAGTCAATCACAAAAGGTCAATATTGTATGAGACCACTGCTGTAACAGTTAAGTAGAGATTTTCTTGCTAAATGAAACATTCAGTGATGTTTATGGGAGTGGGGGAAATTATTCATGGTCTAGAAGGTATTAACATGGGTAACAGGGCAGGCTATATACAACAAGAGGGAGATTGGAAGAGCAAAGATAAAGGTTGCAGGAGACGCAGGAAGGAGTGCAAGAATAACGAAAATAGAGGCAAATACTTTTAACTGATGATACATGGAGAGGATTGCAGTCATTGTAATGAAGCAAAGTGTATGAATGTAGAACTGATGATCGGCTCTGTAAGCCTTCATTCAATTCACAATAAAAAGGTAAAACAAAACAAAACACTGTTCAGCATCTTAGCAACACACAAGCAAATCAAAGTCCAAGAGTTGAGTGGTAGCTGCTCTTGTGGTGCATTGGCCTGGAATCAAATCTGGGTCTCCTGTAAGAAAGGCAGGAATTCTACCATCATTTGGTCTTACATGCAGTGGATATTTTTCTTCGGTTAGAAATAATCTTATTTAAATATCTGTTTATGAATTATGACATGGGTCTGTCTGTAAGGATCAAGTGCAGGTGGGAAGATCACATCATTGCTCAGCTGTTGTTCTCGGTCCTCCCTATTCCTTATCCCGCAAACATTTTTGTAATGATGTTATTTATTTAAAATGGGAATCAAAGAGAAGACGTCTTCATAGGGAGGGAAGAAGAGAGCTTTTATGGAATTGCACAGGAATAAAAGCCCTTCTTAACCTTTTTGATGGAAGGGATGGGTGGTGTGACTATTTGGGCACCAGATGGAAGTGTCACTTCCTCATTAGACCCCTCTTCCTCCAGTCACTACCCAGCTGCCCTCTGTCACAGCTGTCCCTAGTTGGCTGTACCCTGGGGATGGCTGTGTTTACTCTAAGCACAGCCACTGGGTGAGTTGGATGAATCACTCCCCTTAAAATTCTAGTCAGTGCATACCAAGTAAGATGCCATGTGTCACTTAGCAAGAGAAAGGGCTGTGCAGTTAAAGGAGGATGGTTAATGTCCCTCTGGTTTTAAGCCATCATGAATGAGTCAAGCCACCTGATCCATCTGGTTTTGTTTTTGTCTGCAGGCAACATAGAGGAATTGGCAGTAGAGGACTTGGCCATTCATTACTAAATCAAGTAGGCCAAGCAGGAAACTGACTTAGGAAAGGTAGTTGCTAGCTTCATAAATGGCTTTCATTAAGGAAAAGTAAAACAGGCAGCTTTGATGCCAGGTAGTTTCTAAATCATCTCCCTTCCTTTTGTGTTCCTCTCAGTTCTGACCTTGCTTTTAACTTGGAAGGCTATATTTTTGTGTTCCTGAATGATATCTTCACAGCTGCAAATGGAGTTTATACCAAGAAGAAAATGGATCCGAAGGTAATGAGCCTGAGCTTTATGGCTTTACACTTACAATCTGACCTCTGAAATTACATGAAAAACTTGTAAAGTTGGCATGCAAGTTAATTTATGTAACAGGATCTACGAATTACTATTTTTTAAGAATTATTTTGCCTGTATAGTCTTGTTACTTCTAATCTTGAAGTTTTAGGGTGAAAAACAGTTGAGAAAGAAAAATGGTACTATTATTTTAGTCAGAATCTATATATATATAAAAGCATTCTTGCTTTTGTAAGACAATAACTTCTCTTTTTAACTGCAGCCGTTACTATTCATTTCCAAAACTTTTCCATCACCCTGAAGAGAAATTCCTTACTCATGAAGAAATACCTCCCAGTTCAACCACTTGTTGATGTTGTTAAGTGCTGTTGAGTTGGTTCCAACCCACAGCGACCCTGTATAGGGTTTCCAAAGAGAGGCTGGTGAGCTTGAACCCTTGATCTTGTGGTTCAAACTGACTTTGCAGTCCATTGCATTAACATACAGCATCACACCAGGAGTCCTACCTAATTCAACCACTAGGAAGTACCTATTCTTAACATTGAAAGGATTATTATTATTATTTTATACCATCATCTTCAGTGACCAAGGGGGAGTCAGGGATAGAATATTCTGAGAACAACTCTAGTCTGAGAGTCTGGAGACATGAGTTACAGTTTTGCCCCTTCTTGTGACTTTGGACCTTAATGTCTTTAACACTCCATTTGCTCATTTAATAGAATGTATGTTCGTCCTTTCCAGCAATAACCGTCTAGCTTTGCCTGACATTACTGCCTATCCCAATCATGAGGGCCTGGTGGACAGTTAGTTTTCTTTTTCAGGGCCTGCATTAAGTGTGTCTGCCTTTTCCCTCGAGGTCCCCAGCCCTTACACCCATACCAGCTGTCACCAGAAGCCCAGGAGGATGAGCTAGGCATATGTTTCTTTGTTCCCAGATCTTATATGTTTGAGTGAATGCTATTTCTATGAGCTGCTTTTATTTGCACTGCTTTTTTTTCTGTGTGGCCATTGTTTGGTAATGGTGGCAGTGTTACAAAACCAGGTTTGTTGCCTTTTGACAATCACAATATGTCACTCTTTGTTGAAAATGGTGGCAAAGGGGTGCAGCCACTTTAATGAAAAGTTAATATATGCAAGATTGGGAAATGAGCTACATGGTGCTTTAAGCCTGCAGCTCTTTAATGGAAATAATAACTATGATTTAGGAGTTCTGTTTATAGTAATATTTAAAATGTCTTTGTTTTGTTCCAGACATAACATTTTGAATAACCTTTTTTTTTTTTTTAAACACAAAGAGATTTTAGGAATGCCTTGAGCTTTGGAGGCCAGCCATCTTTTCTCTAACTTTAGTGGAAAATGAAGGTTTATACTGAAATGACAGTATGCTTGAAATTAAACATTTAATGTCAGAGATTTCCCCAAAATCTTCCCTTGCCACAGCATCTCAGTGATCAGAATGCATATTCTAATGCTGCTTAAGTGCATAGTTGTAGAAATGGCTCCAGGAAATCTGATTCTTCATAATCCTAAAATTGAGTGGAGGTTTTCTTTGTCTTTGCAGGAGCTTGGGAAATATGGAGTGCTTTTCTACAATGCCTGCTTTATGATTATCCCAACACTGGTTATTAGTGCCTCCACTGGGGACCTCAAACAGGTGAGCTAATGATAGTCCTTACATTCATACTTAGTGATATTTAAAATTTTTAATATTTAACCTTTGATTTTCAAGGGAATGAAATGTATAGAGGTAACAAGTGTTGCCAGGAGAATATGCATGAAAGCAAGATGCTTGTTGTCCCTCACAGTACCTTAGGTAGTGTAGTGGTTAGGAATTGGGCTGCGAACCTCAAGGTCAGCAATTCGAAACTACCAGCTGTTTTGCAGGAGAAAGATGAGGCTCTCTGCTCCCGTAAAGATTTACAGCCTTGGAAACCCTGTACAGTGTCCCCGTGAGTCAGAACTGACTCCACGGTACATAACCACCACCACTACCTTGGGTAGGATCTCTCCCTGGGCAGAGGTCTTGCCTGTCAGTTTGCCATACTGTCATGGCATATGTGATGCTGGAAGCTTTGCCACTGGTATTTCAGATTCAGTAGCATTACCCACGGTGGACCTGGTGACCTAATTCTGAAAAACATTGACCAGTTAAAACTATGAATAGAAGCAGAAGATTATTTGATACAGTGCTGGAAGATGAACCTCTCAGGTTGGGACACAGTAAAATGTGATTGAGAAAGAGCTACTTCCTCAAAGTACAGTTAGCCTTAATAACATAAATGGGGTAGAGCTTTTAGAAATTTCATTTGCTAATGTGGCATGACTCAAAATGAGAAGAAATGGCTGTAAGCATCCATTAATAATTGGAACATGGAATGCACCAAGTATGAATCTAAGACAAATGAAAGTTATCAAACCTGAAATGGAATGCATAAAGATCAATATTCTAGGCATACATGAGCCAAAATGGACTGGTATTGGCCATTCTGAATCAGCCAAACATATAGTCTGCTGTGTCGGGAATGACAAACCGAAGAGGAATGGTGTCATATTCATTTTCAGAAAGAACATTTTGGTGGTAGGATAATATCCATCCATACACTTATAAGGACAACCTGTTAATGCAACTATTATTCGAATTGACACATAGACCACTAATGCCAAAGATGAAGAAACTGATGATTTTTACCAACTTGTGCAGTTTGAAATTGATCAAACAATCAAGATGCACTGATAATTATTGGTGACTGGAATGGGAAAGTTGGAAGTAAGGTTCAGTAGTTGGAAAGAATGACCTTGGTGATAGATAGATATGATGCTGGAGATAGATAGCATGACAGAATTTTACAAGACCAATTGTTTATTCATTAGAAATATATGTATTTTTAACATCGCTATGAATTGGTACCGACTTGATGGCACCTAACAACAACAACAACAAATTAATTACTATACACATGGACTTCACAGAGTTAAACATACAAGAATGAGGTGGAGTACATCTGTGGAAATAGACCATGGAAAAACTCAATAGCATCAGTCAGACCAAGGCTAAGAGCCAACTGAAAACAGAACATCAATTATCCAGGGCAAGTTCAAAGCTGAAACAAGTCCATGAAAACCAAAGTATGCCCTGGAATATATCCCACTTAAACTCAGAGACCATCTCAAGAACAGATTTGATGCATTGAACACTAGCGACTGAAGACCAGATGAGTTGTGGGTGAAATGACACCAAGGACAGATATCATTAAAAATACCAGAAAGAAAAAAAGAACTGAATGGATTTCATGAGAAAACTTATATTTGAACATACAGTAGCTAAAGCAAAAGGAAGAAATGGTGAAGTGAAAGAGCTGAACTGAAAATTTCAAAGGGTAGCTCAAGAAGATAAAGTATTATAATGAAATGTGCAAAGACCTGAAGTTAGGAAACCCAAATGGAAGAACATGCTTGGCATTTCTCAAGCTGAAAGAACCATTGAAAAAATTCAAACCTTGAATTGCAATATTGAAAGATTGTGTGGACAAAATGTTGAATGATGCAGGAAACATCAAAAAAAGATGGAATTTGTATACAGATTCACTGTACAAAAAAGAATTGGTAGAATTTCAACCACTTAAGGAGGTAGCATATGATCAAGAATCGATAGTACTGAAAGAAGTTCAAGCTGCATTGAAGGCATATGTGAAAAATAAGCCTCCAGGAATTTGGTTAGCTTGGCTGCTAACCAAAACGTTGGTGATTTGAAGCCATTAAGTGCTTTGCAGGAAAAAGTCTAATTCAGTAAAGACTGAATCGGAAGCCCTATGGACAGGCCTACTCCGTGCTATGGGGTCACTATGAATTGGAATCAACTACATAGCAGTGGGTTGGGTTTGGGTACTAATTAGAGAAGATAATCTGTTTTAATTTATTTAATAAATCTAGATTATATACTAGGATCTTTCAACAAATGGATGCAACACTGGAAGCACTCATTCATCTAGGCCAAGAAATTTGGAAGACAGTTAACTGACCAAAGGACTGGAAGAGAGCCATATTTGTGCTTATTCCAAAGAAAAGGTGGCATAACAGAATGCGAAATTATTGAATGGTATCACTGATATTACATGCAAGCAAAGTTTTGTTGAATATAGTTTAAAAAAATGGCTGCAGCAATCGTTAAGAGGGATCCACCAAAATTCTAGCTGGATTTGAAACTGTCAAGGATTTCATTTTATATACATCCAAAATCAATTCCCATGGAAACAGCAATCAAGAACTTTTAAAATTGCTAAAAAATAAAGCTGTTACTCTGAGGAGGAAGGTTTGCCCGACCCTAGTCATGGTATTTTCACTTGCCTCATATATATGTGGATTCCTGATGTGGCACTATAGGATAAGCACTAGACCAGAAGGTCAGTTTGAACTGAAAGGCCAGTGGTTCAAACCCACCAACTGCTCCTTGGAAATCCTATACAGAGTCGCTAAGAGTCTGAACTGACTAGATGGCACTTAACAACAACATATATATCCAGAAGCATAGACAATGATTAAGGAAGACCATAGAAGAATTGAACTGCCAACCTTGCAGTTAGTAGTTCAGTGCTTATGCTCCATACCAGGACTCCATACAGTAGAGAGAATAATGTCACTAACTGCCAATCACCCATCACCCAACTTAAGAAATCTGGCTATTCTTGTTACATCTATCCTTGTCTATACCACTTGTTTTGAGGGATAGGGAGCTGTCGTATTTGTATGCAGATCCCTGATATCATGTCATTTTGTGTCTAAATACTCCAGGATCTACAAATGAAATTTAAGGAGATATTTTCCTTTCAGTATTTGTTCTGTTTAGGCTTATCAACTGCTTGTATGAGAGACAAAAATAAAATAAGAATTTAGTAATAAGATACTATGCTCAGCTGAGAGGTCTAATCTCATACTAAGTATGAATATTGACTCCTGTGATGATATAGGATAAGCACTGGACTGCTAATCGCAAGGCTGGTGGTTCAAACCTAACAGTCACTCATTGGAATCCTTATGTTGTTGTTTTTGTTAAGTGCCATCAAGTAACTTAAAAAAAAATTTTTTTTTTGAGTTTTTATTGTGAATTGAATGACATTTTACAGGGCAAATCATCAGTTTTACATTCAACAAATCATACACTTTGTTTCATTGCAATGGTTATAATCCCCTCCATGTACCATCAGTTAACAGTGTATCTCTCTATTCATTTTAGCTCTTGTCAAGTCACTTTGACTCATAGCTACACTGCGTAGGATCTTCAGAAGTGGCTGGTGGGTTTGAGCCACCAACCTTGTGGTTAGCAGTCAGTGCTGATCCTACAGTGCCACATTAGAACTGCCTATACAAGGTCACTGTTATCTAGATTTTAAAAATTGTATTCTTTAGCTGGGAAGCTGGTTTCTGTTAGTAAAAGTCACAATTTGGTAAAACCTATAGACTGAAATTCCATTATTATTAATCTAATCTTTAGTTTTCTTTCTTTTTAACAATAGGCTACTGAATTCACCCAATGGAAGAATGCTCTATTCATCATACAGTTCCTTCTTTCCTGTTTTTTGGGGTAAGAAACCATAGATAAGAAGAAGCTTTGGTATATGGTGTCTCTTAACAAATCAAATAAAAGGATAATCTCTGTCTGCTCTGTAAAAATCTTTTCATCTGTGCTTCCCTGACTTTCTCTGGTAAGGTCCTCTGAAACAGAGGAGGGCACTTGGCCCCAGAACACTTGGGAAGCCAGCCTGAAAGATGGGGAGCAAGCTCTGCTATCTGTTTTATTGTTGAAATTACAGTGCCCCAGTTTTCCAAGATTTCCACCTCATATACATAGAGGATACAAGTGACAACCATTTTATGTCATGCTGGTGTGGCACTGTGGGTTAGTGCACTGGACTGCAAAGTCGGTTTGAACTGCAAAGTTTGTGGTTCTAGCTCACCAGCTGCTTCTCACAAACCATATATGGGGTTGCTATGGGCTGGAATCGACTCAGTGGCCCTGAACAACAACAACATAACTTGCTGTACTCAGAGAAATCTAGGAAAACTGTCTACCCTGCTCTATTGTCCAACAATCTTAGGCTTTTGTCATGGGAAATTTCAGTAGATATTCTCCTGTTGAAAGGCCATGTGTGATAGTGAAGGTTTTGTGTTAACTTGACTGGGCCAGGGTCCTTAGCAGCTGAAATGCAGCTTGTCGCCCATCATGTGATTTGATCTGATAAACCAGTAAGGTGATAAGGGGTGTGTGTGTGGAGTCCTGGTATGGCTATGTAGGATAAGCACTGGACTGCAAGATTGATTTTAACTGCAAAGGTGGCAGTTCAAACTCACCAGCTGCTCCTTGGAAATAGAGTCAGGTTGCTGGAGTTAGAAAACCAAAGGCGAAGAACACACTCAGCATTTTTCAAGCTGAGAGAACTGAAGAAAAAATTTAAGCCTTGACTTGAAATATTGAAGGATTCTATTGCAAAATATTGAATGATGCAGAACACATCAAAAGAAGATGGAAGAAATACACAGAGTCACTGTACCAGAAAGAAATGTTTGATACTTAATCATTTCAAGAGGTAGCATATGATGAAGAGCCAATGATACTGAAAGAAGAAGTCCAAAGTGCACTAAGGGGATTGGCAAAGAACAAGGTGCTAGGAATTGATGGAATATAAATTGAGATCTTTCAACCAACTGATGCATCACTGTAGGCACTCACTCATCTATGCCATGAAATTTGGAAGACAACTATCTGCCCGACTGACTGGAAGAGATCCATATTGGTGCCCATTCCAAAGAGAGGTGGTAATCCTACAGAATGCACAAATCATCAGATAATAATATCACATGCAAGTAAAATTTTGCTAAAGATAATACAAAAATGACTACAACTGTATTTTGACAGAGAACTACCAGAGGTTCAAGCTGGAGTCAGATGAGGACGGGATATCATTGCTGACATAAGGTGAATTATGCTGAAAGCAGAGAATACCAGAAAGTTGTTTACGTGTGCTTTATTGTCTATGCAAAGGCTTTAGACTGTGTGGTTTATGGCAAGCTATGGACAACACTGCAGAGAATGGGCATTCCAGAACACTTAATTGTGCTTATGAGGAACCTGTATATAGACCAAGAGGCAGTTGTTCAAACAGAACATGGGAACACTGAATGTTTTAAAATTAGGAAAGGTATGCGCCAAGGTTGTATTCTTTCACCATACTTATTCAGTCTGTATGCTGAGCACTTAATCTAAGAAATGGGATTATATGAAGAAAAACGTGGCATCAGGATTGGAGGAAGACTCATTAACAACCTGCAGTATGCAGATGATACAACATTGCTTGCTGAAAATGAAGAGGACTTAACATATTTACTGATGAAGATCAAAGAGCACGGCCTGCAGTACGGGTTGCACCTTAACATAAAGAAAACAAAAATCCTCACCACAGGACCAATGAACAACAACCTTATCAATGGAGAAAAGATTGAAGTTGTCAAAGAATTTGTTTTGCTCACACTAACCATCAACACTCATGGAAGCAGCAGTCAAGAAATTAGACAACATATTGCATTGGGCAAATCTGTTGCACAAGACCTCTTTAAAGTGATAAAGACAAAGGCATCATTTTAAGGACTAATGTGTGCTTGACCCAAGCCATGATATTTTCAATAGCTTCATATATTTGTGAAAGTGGGACAATAAATAAGAAAGAACATAGAAGAATTGATGCATTTGAGTAACAATGTTGATGAAAAATATTTAAAAGTACTATGGACTGCCAGAAGAACAAACCAATCTGTGTTTGGAGATATGTAGCCAGAATATTCCTTAGAAGCCAGGATGGCCAGACTTTGTCTCTCACAGTTTGGACATGTTATCAGGAGAGATAAGTTCCTGGAGAAGGACATTATACTTGGTAAAGTAGAGGGCCAGTGAAAAAGTGGAAGACCCCCAACAAGAAGAATTGGTAGAGTGGCAATAGCAATAGGTTTAAGTGTAATGATGATTGTGAGGATGACGCAGGACTGGGCAGTGTTTCGTTCTGTTGTGAATAGGGTAACTGTGACTCAGAGCCAACTTGATGGCACCTAACAACAATAATAATCCTGTTGCAACTGTCCACAGCTTTTCTCTTTTTTGGCCTTAGTTCCCAAGCTCTCAATCCCCTCTCTTAAAGAGGGATTTTGGGAACCTCCAATACCAACAAATTCTTTCAAGACCAACAAATTCTCAAATGGGTTACTCTTTGGGCTGTTAACCACAAGGTCCAGTTTGAATTCACTAGTCACTCTATAGGTGAAAGATGAGACTTTCTGCTCCTGTAAAGATTTACAGTCCTGGACACTTTACATAGGGTTGCTATGAGTCGGAATTGACTCGATAGCATTGGGTTTTTTGTGTGTGCATTTCCTTGCACTGGTTGTTTTAGCATGGGAGGGTCCCTTAGCATATTTAGCTCTGGCTATAAACTACATACATTTAGTTAGATATCTGTAGTTTGCACAGTTGTTGACTGAGAACATTTAACCCTGAAAAAAAATCAACTTAACCATGTTGGTGAGGCACTGTTTTTCAGAATACCTGTTATTCTTCTTTCTGATTAAAAGAGTAATTCAATCCATATCACACAAACTCAAACCAATATCTTTCCTTGGCTAAATCCTTAACCACTTATAAACAGTAGGTCAAAACTTCATCTTTTTTTTTCTGATGTCGTTATAAACCTCATGAGATAGTTTTTGTTTTTTCAAAAACTTGCACTCTACTATTCATCTGTTCTTTGAAAATAAAGAAGCTAACCCTCTGAAGTCAGTTCTCAATGTATAATGCAGAAGGAAGAGCCTGGCTGAGAGCCACCATTTCCTGAGGTTTGACCTCATCTCTGTACAACTTTAGAGTCCTAGTGTGGTGCTGTAGAATAAACACTGGACTGCTAACCACAAGGTGGGCACTTCAAACCCACCAGTTGCTCCTCGGAGGGCTATACAGGGCTGCTATGAGTTGGAATCTATTCAGTGGCACTTAACAATAGCAACAACAATGCACAACTCTATTCATATATATATTTTTTCCATTTGATAATATGCTTCTAAGAAAATAAATTCTTTCTTGATTAAAATTCTTAGTACATTGTTTTATCAGTAATCACTTCATAAATGAAACTGTCATACTAACACCAAATGTATTACTGTTGAGATGATTTCAGCTCCTGGTGACCCTGAGACAGAGTGGATGTGTCCACAGAGTATCCAAGGCTATGCATCGTTACAAGATCAGACCGTGAGGTCTTTTTCCCACTAAGCAGCTGCCTAGTTAAGTTAGCAGCAGAGTTCATAAGCAATGCACCACCAGGGCTCTTGTCCTCAGGTGTACTGATTATAAACGGATCAGTAAATATGGTGACATCATTACTGTTTCTGGTTTTATCCAGTCTTGGGGAGAAATGTAGGCAGATACGTGTTTTAAATGATTCCTTTGAGGACATGGAAATGACGGTGGCAGTCCAGTGGCTAAGTGCCTAAAGTCTGAACTCAGATGGTCTGGGTTTGAATCTTGGCTTTGCCATTTACTGGCTCTAGGTTCTTGCCCAAGTTACTTGTCACCTCTAAGCCTCAATTTCCTTATTTGTAAAATGGGGACAACAAGTGAAAATGCCTGTATTCTACAGTAGGGTTATGTGGATTCAGTGAGTTACTGGTGAAGAGCACTTAGAACTGTGCTCTTGTATAGGGGTTCCAAGGAGCAGTTGCTGGGTTTGAATTACTGACCTTGTGATTAGTAGCCCAGTGCTTGTCCTACAGCGCCACACCAGGACTCCTAGAACAGGGCTAGACCAATAGAAAATTCTCACCAAGTGTTAGCTATTATTATCATTGTTCGTTCTGTTTCTTGAGGTCAGCCTATTCAGCTTGGTTGTGTTCTTTTTACCCCAGGTACATTCAGCTCTACCTACAGCCCACAGCTTCAGCAATTTTTCTTCCAACTTTACCTTCAGTGGTAAAGTTTTAATTCTACAACTACTCTGTTGTAGTTGTAGAGGAAGCTTCTAATTTCATCTAGCGGATTTTTCAGAATCCTACTTTCTTGCAGTTTCTCAATAGATATATATTCACTTATCTCAAATTTGAACTTCAAACTTTATTTTTTTCCCAATCACCAAACCTCTATGGCAAGTTGAAAACATAATTTAAAAAGGAGACCACCTTAAAAAAGTCTGTGAAGAATGCCAATGGGTTGTTGAAAGGATAGGCTTTTAATTTCTTTTGCCTTAAGGTGAAGGACTCGGCTTTGGGAAATAATACTGTAGGAATTGGGAGTTTGTAATTAAGCATTTGATGGAGTAATGTTGTGCCAGGAAGATAAATAGGATCGTGGGAGCAAAAGATGACCTTGTGCGATAAAGGAAACCAGGATAAATTGCTACAATTTGATGAATTTGACCTATGCTCATGGAGGTAGTATCTCAAAATACCAATAGAGAGGGAAGGAGTCTTCACATCAAGGATCAATGTTATCCCCTCTGTATATAGGGTAGATAGGGAATGGCAACTTAGACATTGGCTACCTAAAAT